TGGGATGAAATGAATCTAACAGTGGATGTGAGTGTGCTCGCTAGTCTCTAAAATCTAAAATAATTTTATTTACTAAATATAACCTCGAAAAAGTCGTCTATCACTCTAATATTTTTCGGTGCGTTCTTTGAAGTATACCCCGTAGCTATAGTGGCGCCACCCTTATTTAACGGTTTCCTACGGACACTTTTTAATACACAGTCTGTGCTCCTTACTTTTACACTCCATACTTAGCGACTCAATTTTCATTCACATTAGATCATGTAACGTTCCACTTGGCATCCCCGAAATAAACACAGCAAAGATACACACCGTCCGCGTGTAACAATAGAATGTTACACTGCGCTGAAATTAAGTCGGTTGTAACAAAACAGAAGAAACTCGTCACACACACACACATTCGTATTTCGACTAGCTACAGTAAAAGATTAAATGCTCCTTACAATCTATTCAATAAATATTTTTTCTTTTCACTTATCCAATAAATAAATCTAATATTTTACTACGTTTCGGTATTTTTTTCCTCGAAGTTCTTTTCAAGTGTTCTTTTATATTTAGACACAACCATTTTTTTTATAACAGTATTTAATAAGTGATTCATGAGTTTAATTATCTTACGGGTCTGAATTTGGCATTGTCTTGTTCCGGAAAAAATAAACCTAATGACAGAGAAATGACTAGAAACTCTTTGTATGACGTTTCACTATTCGTATTTCATTTTATCTCTATTTTTATACATACCTAGCATTCTCCTCGGATATAAAATTGTCTTAAAAAACTTCTCACTCAATGATGTAACCCATGCCTATGTTTCAACTAGGGTTCCTACTAAACATGTCTCCAAAAATCTACATTTTTTCCCACTAAATCTTATTCTATGCTTGTGCTTCAGATGTTGGTACCGTATCACTCCCGAAATAGTTCCCATATGTGTCGCATTCCACTGGAACTTCCACCTACGTTTGTATCTTCATTTTACTTAATAATTCTTAAACCTACAGCTTACAATTATCTTATATCGAGTAACTATATATTTTCTAAAACTTATACCTTTATTATAATTGCATTTAACATGCTTTCATAAGCAGCGGTAGAAATAAATCTTTCGATAAGAGTGACTCACATTTTACTCCATATTACGAAAAGGTACTTTCACCTAGTTGTGGTAAACAGAAGCTTAATTTACTAAGAAGTACTCTAAGACTTGTAGCCTTATCGCTATCCGCACACAATCCGTGCCCTGCTGCTTTCGTTTTAACGAAACTTTCTTTAGAAAGTAAACATTCAAGGTTTGAAAATTTTAATCAAAACATTGAAACTAGATTGAAACAAGTCCTCCATCACTAAACAGAAAATCCAAATTTGCAAAACACGAACTTACAACAAAAATATAAAAATTGAAATAATGCATTGCATAAACTTACAGAGCATTAGTGACTTTAAATTTAACAAAACCTAAAACATACAATATGTTACAGCCCGATGGTTTATTCTTCGGTTAAATGGTAGACTAGCCATTTAGTCAAGCGACGGAATTAAATTAAATCAATGTAATGTTTAAATAAGTAACTGGCTAATGTTTAGCCATTTAGTTAAGCGTAATTGTGCGATGATGAGTTATGATGATTATAAAATTAATGCAAGTCTTAGTTCAGGATATACGTAATATTTTATTTTTCTGGATTATTACGTAGGCAAATCTATGTTAAACATAGTATTATTGTAGTAAAACATTTTTTCGATGTAGGGGAGAACTTTATAATGGTTTTAAAAAACAAAAATGACACGCTTTCTTGTAACGTTTACCGCCGGAAAGTTAGTGTACTATTATTTAACCTACGTATGTAAAATATAAAATAAAAGGAAAATGATGTGTCGTAAAGAAGTTTCATTTTGTTAGTGTATACAAAATTACGCGCATATTTTTTTCTGTTTGTACTAAATGATCATAATCGGTAAAATTACATCGAATGTTGACACCATTTTAACAAAGCAAAGGTCTGTTGTTATTGTTATTCGCTCGAGAGAGCAGGCAAAGGAACTAAACCATACAGCCTTGTCTTTTTAATAGCAAAGGTCTGTTAATGACGCGTGGCAGAAAAAAAACAAACTTCAACGCCTTGACGTCTTGTGATTTAGCCATATCGGAATTGTTGATTTTTGGTCACCGAAAATATTTCATATTATTCGTCGTTATAATTCAATTAACATGCTAGGCGTTAAGTTAAATACCATTCAACTATCGGTTTAGTTGTTCAATTATTTGGGTGATCAAACCATCCGGCTGTGACATTTTCACTTACTTAAATGATTGAGTAAGAGTAATAAAAGTGGTACGGTCATTTGCAAAAGTCTACACTATAGAATAAGCAAAAAAATGCCCTGTTTACAGTTACTGTACCAGTTTTAGTTACGTATTTAAAATTATTCTTAAAATTTTAGAGAACTTATGAGGACGCTTACTTAATAAATTTGAATTAACAACTTAAAATATGTATTGTGATATTAAAAATATTTTGAACCCAAATCCGTTATATTAAGGTTTGTATATATATATATATATATATATATATATATAAAGTATTCAGAATTTAACTTTTGTGCTATGTATGGATTTGGCAAATAACCGTATCTTTTGTTAACGAACTCTGGCAATAGCCAGGGCAATGAGTATAAACGAAGGGAATGATACAGCGTAGAATAAACTTGTAATGAGAATTAAGATAAATGTTACGAAAAGGGAAAGAAAGGCATTAAGAACACTTAAATCCACTCTTTGTGTAGACAGCAGCAGGTGGGTTCGGGCGGGGGCGCGCGCTGGCCTCACACGAGGAGGCTCGGGGCCAGCCATTCATCTTCACCGATCTACAAAAAAAATATTATATTCTTTAATTATTTCTCTTACAAATCATATTTCACTTAGTCCGGTCTGAAGGGTATAGGGAGCCAGTGTAAATACTAGTGATGCAATAGACCTCTGCCTCTGCATCCGTAACTGCGGAAGTTCTGCACGCTTTTTGACATCCGTTTCTGCTTCTGTTTCCGCAACGTTTATAACGGAAAATCGATCGGAACTTTGATGATGGCATACCTATCCCCAAAGGTAAAAGTAAAGTAAAGTTACAGCCTATATACGTCCCACTGCTGGGCACAGGCCTCCCCTCATTTCTGGGTTTTAGGGAAAGGAAGTGTCCGCCGCGCTGCCCCGATGCGTGTTGGCGAACTTCACATGTCTTCGAAATAATTTTTTCTTATTCCTCAGACATGCAGGTTTCCTCACGATGTTTTCCTTCACCGCCGAGCACGTGGTATAACAGCACTTAAAATTGCAATTAACAATTTCATTGGTGCCGGCGGGGATCGAACCCGGGTTACTCGCGTTCTGTTATATTTACTGCGAGCGTTAACCATCTGAGCTGCCACGGCTTACAACTACCTAATATAACTTAAAACTAACATATTTATTATTTGTAATATAATTACCATGTGTATATTCTAAAAATATGAAATAATATTTCCTCCAAACATCCTGTATACTACTCTAATTAAATAGCCACTACAACTCATCGTCATGTTATTTTTATAACAACGAGCGAACTACCTCCTTACTCCAAATAATATTAAAATGTTTGCGTTCGAAAGACGGCGAACCGCAGTGTGCAGAAAAATCTTATATAGGTTTATATTGCACTGTACTTATGAACTTTGTATAATGTGTATTTCAGTTGTTGTAAATACAAAATAAACAAAAAAACTTCCAAAATAGTGATCTCTACTTATCTATTTATCTACTACTTATAGGCGTTAACTCCGCCTCTGTACATTTTTGTACAATTTAAATGAATAATATAACTATCTTTGCTGGTGTAATAATATCCAATATCCCATATAATCCCGTGGATGTAGTAAGAGGCGACAGGGGAAAACAAAACAGGATATTGGCAGCAGCGTTTTTTTTACTAACAACTAAAAAATAAACTGCAATTGCCAAAACCTGCCAAGCGTGCCAACTGTGACAAATATCCAATGAGTCAATGTAAATGTCTATAGAAAATAGAGCCTCCTATTTTCTATTTCGTCTACTTAGGTCGCGGTTGCGTCACGCTACACATATATAGTTGTAGTACGAAAGGGTTTGCACAACCTGGGAAGGACCACACCCTCAGAGAATACCAGCGTAAAACAGCAGCTTAATGCTTTGTATTTCGTATGGTGGGTGTAGGAAACCGAAAAGTCTTTTTAATGTATAAGAGGCAATCCATCTTAGTACTCTGGTGGACGACGCGGGTGATATTGAGGAGCACTGCCTTCTGCAGTTGAACTCCAAGTCCCAGTCGCCTCAGATGAGCTGAGGGGCTGACCGAGATTAACACATTAAAGACTACAGTCGGCAGACCATCCCATAAGTCAGTCATATCAAAGCTAGTTTCAGATATTTTGTCTTGCGTGTATGTATATGTATCTGCTGCGAAGGTAATGTTAAATATATTTGACTGCGTGCGGCACATCGCCACAATATCAGACTTACTAGCAATAGTCCTGTCTGTGATGATAAGGCTATTATCACAGACAGGACTATTATATATTATATAATGGTTCCAGTAGAGCTTGGCGCGGTAATTTTTGAGCAGGGCTGGCAACGATTAAATAAAGTATGATGATTTCCAGTCAAAGAGACTTTACTTTAGAACGAACGACCAGTAGGTGACTACAGTAGATTTCACAGTATGCGAGCAACCTGGGTTCGATCCCCGCCGGCACCAATAAAAATTTTAATTGCAATTTTAAGTGCTGATTCACCACGTGCTCGGTGGTGAAGAAAAACACTGTAAGAAAACCAGCATGAAAAACAATTTCAAAGACATGTGAAGTTCGCCAACACGCATTGGAGCTGCGTGGTGGATATTTCCTTGCCCTAAAACCCTCACAGAAATTAGACAAGGCTTGTGCCCAGCAGTGGGACGTATATAGGCTGTAACTAATTATTGTTATTATTGACACTATATACTGTTAACACTTACGGGCTGCACTTGGAAGTGCTGCACTGGATAGTGGAGCACCTGCGGAGGTTGGGACATGGCGGCCACACCACCCACCGACCCCACGCCCCCCACCGCTCCGCCTCCGAGCGCCCACGGCAGCTGTACGCCACCCATGCTGAAACACAAACAACAAAATAATACAGTAATTGTTTCAAGTTTCCTTAAACTATTGTTTTTTTTTTTTGAAGTATAAGTAAGTAAGTATCTTCATCGTTATTTCAACTCTATCTGTACACAAGGTCTCCCGCAAGGATCACCACGCACGTTCCTGAGTGCAATTAGTGCATGGAAAATCATATTAAGTTTTGAATTAAAGGCGACTTATGGGCTAAGAGCAAAATGTTATTTTAACGCTAGATGTAAATTTTAAAGTACGCGAGCAACCCGATTTAGATCCTCGTCGGCACTAATGATGATGTTTTGTGCAATTTATAGTGCTGATTTACCACTTTCTGAGATATATATAGCGAAATACTGCAAACTGACTGACTGACTGACTCATCATGACATCTCTAAAACAATACACCCTACTGACTTGAAATTTATTATACTTAGTTACTCATTTCGAATGTAGACTGCAAAGTAAGAACGAATTTTACGATATTCCCATCAAAATAAAATCTTGATACTTTACATCTAGGTTCCGCAATTAAATATTTCTTTATATAAAAGCTCCATAACCACTGACCTCTATATATACAAGTACGCTGGACTGGCTATACCATAGAAAATGACTGTGCCAATTTGAAGCGCCGCTAAAGGATGTCTTTAAAAATAAAATTGACATAATATGTCAAAGTCTGTTGTCTCATTTATATTGTCTTATTTAATAAGTCCGTATTTTGAACTTTTAAACTAAAAAACGAAAGTATTTTATGTTGTTTCATCGTGTATAATATTAGTTACATAATAAGAATTATTTTTACTAATAATGAGAGTGTGCGTAATCTGTAAAACTCGTTACCAAAAGGGAAGTGGTATAACATTTCACAAGTAAGTGAATTTGCAGCAAATATTAAACAAATTAAAACCATTTGATAATATAAGTACTTAAAAATTTGTTTCTAATCTTAATATTATATATAACAACATCTTTGGCTATATATTACTGATTTTTGATAAACAATATAATACTTATCGATGTTCTTTCCTACCCATATCTGATAACAAACAAAGTTGCCAACAACAGTTGATTATCAAATGTTTATTAATTAACAGGTTTCCACTTGAACCTAGACTAAAAATATGGCTTAAAAGCATAAATATTGTGAATTGGCGTCCGAAACAAAATGATCATATTTGTTCCAAACATTTCACAGAAGACTGTTTTATTAGACATGAGAACTGCACCACTTTGAAAAAGTGCAGTATACCGACCATATTTTCTGGTAGTACCAGTACCAGTAAGTATAAAGGTATTAGATTATTATTTCGAATGATTTTTTATTTCTTCTTTCCTCATTTTCCACCAAACTCAAGGGCCATAGCCAAGTGTCGAAAGGTCACCTGATGATGTCGAGCCACGTTGTATGTGTTTTAGTGGGCTGCGGCTAGAGGAGATTCCTCTCCCTGTACCGCTGTAGTCGAGGTGGAGTCGTAAGGGAAGAGGAGTGTTGGTATGGCGATTGGCGATGCGCCACTCGTCTATCTTTTGCGACTTTGGTGAGGCTGCACCACTTGATGCTTTCAAGTGCTCGTTTTTCCCTGGCTCCATTCACATATCGGGCTCGGGGAGTCCGTAGTGCAGGTGGAGTTAGAGGACGTGAAGAGCAGTGTGGCTTGTTTCTGGTGCGCCTTACCTGAGAATGACTAAGGAGGGGCCGCCATTGGACGGCTGGCGGCGTAGGGGCCATAGATGTGCATGAAAGCATTTCCGTGGAACTGCCAATTTGCGGCGGAGGTAGAACACGATGGGGTTTTAGTAAGTGCGACTCTAGAGATTTAATTATCTCTCGAGTCTCAAAATTTAATTTGTGCCTTAACTTCATAGTGGCACTACTTTAGTTTCCTTCTTATTTAGAAATTCTTGCCATCGTTTACATTCACGGTTTTTGGCAGCTTCCTCTCGCACAACATCCACCGACAAAGATAATCAAGTGTTCGATCAAGAACCCATGGATTGCGATACGTCAAGTCACCCAGAATACGTGGCACTGCCGAAGCTGGAAAGCTTAGGAGCTAGTGCAATATGCGCCGATAAAGGTGATCCGTATTTTGATCTCAAAACTATGGAAGTAGATACGTTGCTGCCTCCAGAATACATGGAGCTGCCCGAGATTGAGAGCCTGGAAAGTTCTTCTTTTTTATGTTGGTATCTTGATTTTTCTTTTCTTTTTTATTACAAACAAACCGTGGCAAATGTCATGTGTAATTTTCTTAATTGTTGTTTTTTCGTGTTATTTATCAATATAAATTTGGTATACAGGTCAGAACACAAGTTGCTACCGGGAACAGACTGTCACTTCAAAGAAGGTTTTGTCTATTTCTGAAGTCCGTAATAATATCAAGCATGATCATCGTTATGAATACTCCCCTAGATCATCCAATAAGACATTGGAACGAGTTCAGAAATCTTTGAAAAACACACGAGCTCGTATAAAAGTCCTATCCCAACATGTGAAACGATTAAAGGTCAGAATTACTTGTTTAAGAAACGTAATTATTGAATTAAAGAGAAGAAAATTAATTAACGATGACTGTGCAAATCTATTACATCTGTATGACGACTTCAAGCCACAATTGTTTAAAAGGATGATATTAAATACTGGTAAAAATGTCAGCCATGCTAAGTATCCCCCGGAATTAAGAGCTTTTGCTATAACTCTCCATTTTTACTCACCAAAAGCATACGCTTTCGTCAGAAAAAAGTTTAATATAGCATTACCACATCCAAGGGTAATACGCTCCTGGTATAGCTCTATAGATTCGAATCCGGGGTTCTTAGTTGAAAGTTTTAATGCTTTACTACTTAAAAGTAACCAAGCAAAACAGAATGGAGAAACACTAATTTGTGCTTTGATCATAGACGAAATGAGCTTAAAGAAAAGTTGCTCTCGCAGTCGTGATGGTGTAACGCGTGGTTATGTTGATTTTGGCATTGATTCCGAATGTAATGATTTACCCGATTGTAAGGACGCATTGGTTTTTATGATTGTTCCGTTAAAAGGCCATTGGAAAATACCAATCGCCTATTTTTTTATTAATGGGTTGCCTGCTGAAACAAAGAGTGCCTTAATTAAACAGGCTTTAATTCGCTTGCACGATGTTTCAGTAAAAATATGCTCCATAACTTTAGATGGACCACCCGAGAATTTTTCTACGGTAGCTAAACTAGGGGTAGTGTTGAAAGCAGGAAACGACACTAAACCTTTCTTTTATCACCCAATAGACAAGAACCACAAGATTTATGTAGTATTTGATCCCTGTCATATGCTTAAAAATATTAGAAATTGTTTAGGTGACTTAAAGGTTTTAAAGGATCACGAAGGGAATTCAATAAAGTGGGAATATATTGAAAATTTGGCAGCATTGCAGGAATCTGAGGGCCTGAGGTTAGGAAATCGACTAAGGAGTTCGCATATACATTATAAAAAAATGATAATGAAAGTTTATCTTGCAGCTCAAACACTTAGTAGCAGTGTAGCAGATGCAATTGAATTTTGCGACATTATTTTACAACTTCCAGAATTTAAAGGTACAGCTTCAACAGTTAGATTTATAAGAGCAGTTGACCGTATTTTTGATTTTTTGAATGTAAGAAATCCATGGGGGTGTGGATATAAAAGTCCACTCAGGACTACAAACGAGAAAAGGTGGAGGTCTAAAATAATGGAGGAAATTAATTACCTTAGCAAAATAAAACTACATGATGATAGATTGGTGGTACAATCACGCCGTAAAGCAGGTTTTTTGGGGTTTTACAATGCAGTTATTTCTGTTCTTCATATTTACGACAGCTATGTTAAAGCAGATAAGCCTGAACTTAAATATTTGTTGACGTACAAGTTAAGTCAAGATCACTTGGAATTATTTTTTTGTGCGATTCGTAGCCGAGGTGGTTGGTGTCCAAATCCAACTGCCGCTCAGTTTGTAAACGCATTTAAGCAATTGTTAATTCACCATGAAATAACTAATTCCACGGGCAATGTCCAGGGAAACGACTTATCAATATTAGCTGTATCTTCTGGTTCTTCAAAAGGGGCTAAAATCAACAAATTTAATGTAGATGACTATAGCAATGCTGAAAATATACGTACAATAAAAAAATATCGTTTAGAAGAAATAGATTCGCCAAACCTACATGATGAAATAAGTGAATTTTTACACCTGTTTTGGGCAGTACCTGATTCAAACATAAACGAAACGTCTAAACAGTGTGTAGGATATATTGCAGGATTTGTTATTCGAGCGATACGAAAGAAAATTAGATGTGACGATTGCTTGATAGCTTGCGAATCTGTACCACAAGATCCTGTGTCGAATCGCAGAAATGGTATTGCTCTCGTTGTACAAAAAACGAGGGGCGGTTTAACTATGCCTTCTACAAGTGTGGTAAATATTTGTTTATTGGTTGAGTCATTATTCCGCCATGCTGTTAAAAATAATAATGGTAAACCTCCGATAGAACCAAATTTTTCTGCAATATTAACTGCAAAGGTACTAAAAGATCTTATAGTTAAAACGGAAATATTGTTTCCTGATCTACAATACCATTTTAAGGACACTTTGGTTTCAGATAATTTTACTAGCCACTTTCACATTCTAGTAAAACATATTATCATCAAATATATAGAAATCCGTCTGTATGCAGCTACAAAAACTTATTCCCTGTACATTACAGGCGATAAAGTACGTAATTTTTTGTCTCGTCAAATTATTTGGGCTCGTCAATGATATAATAATAATAATATTACATTCTATTACAGCCTATAAAAGTCAACTGCTGATAATAGGCCTCCTTCGAAGATTGTCTCATGGGGAATTTTGTTTTAGTTGCCAGTTACCACGCTTGGCAAGCGGGTTGACAACCACGGTTTTGTATTTTTAGTCGTTATTAGGAAGACGTTGCTGGCCATCTCCTGTTCCAGTTTTCCTCTGTCGCCTCTTACGAGACTC